GAGCAAGCGAGTCAGTCAGAGCGATCGAGTCAATTAGTCGAGTCAGAGGCAGTCCGAAACAGAGTCTCGTTCACACAATTACTACTAAACCTGATTGTTCGTACTAACACTTTCTACTTCTCTGTATATATTCCTGTTTGTAATATATCTGTGTTATTCCATACCTGTGTTCGAGTTCTTCTTTATTGGTTCTACCTTGGACTATCACCGTGGTACAAGGAACCGGACCATAACATGATTTGAGCCAGATCATTTTGCTTCAAAAGTTGTGAAACACCCTGTATTGGGTTCAGTGTATTTGTATACCAACATCACTTTGTTGGCGTACAGCTCACTTGATCAATAAATAAATAAATCGTTGGATATATTATAAGCATCGTTCAGTTTCTTATATGCCCCGCTGAGTGATTTTCCGTCCAAAAGGGTTGATCCAACGTTGTCGACTAATTTAATGAACTTTGCCTAATTGAGATTAATGTCGTCCATTTGAGAGAGAAAAAAAGGAAAAGTGGATAATTAATAGGAAAAAAGCGAACCGCCTTTGCCGCATAACTTCGTTTCTCTCATCATCACATATTTGGCGGGAAAATGTTATGAAATGGCCGTCCATTATTCCGACCGATAGGCGTTTGAAAGTTAGGCAAATTGATTTTAAGTGCGCATGCGTGAATTCAGAAGCGAGAATGGCGGAACGCACACTGCACGTTTAGTTATAGGCGTATAAATATCTACACAGAGAAAAAGATAGCACATGATGCTATTACGAAAGAAATCGTTCAGACGCTGTTATTTAGATGCACAAATAAAAATGTACAAATCAACAATAAAGCCTACGTAAAAATTTAAAACACGGACATTAGAAAGAACGCTTACAGAGGTGGATATAATGAAATGCACATTCGTCCATGCAGGAATATACGCAAGCTACAAAATATGAGGCAATATATATATATATATATATATATATATATATATATATATATATATATATATATATATTAAAAAATTTATAAAAAATTAACATAACAGACATTTTGAATATGACAAGATATGAAACAAAACATCGTAATGTTATAACTCCAAAAAAACGGAATAACGGACATTTTGTTTCAATTGAAACTAAAATTAAATTTTCTAATTCAAAAAACAAAAACAAGATAGAAATTATAATGATTTTAAATCGATTTTTTCTGAAAAAAATAATCGAAAAATGTTTAATTTTTTTTTAGAGAAATGTAAACAAAATAATTTTGTTTTAAAAACCCGCCTAAAATAACATTTCTGAAACGTTTTAAAATTGCAAATTTAAAGAACTGTTTTAAAACAAAATCACTACTTACACCATGAAAATTTCTAGACAAGCATTTCTTCACCACGGATTGAATTTTCTCGAGTCTCCATCGATAATTTGATGGACGCATGTAAGGACAGCTTTAGTATGGTTGATACAATTTTTCGAATTCTAAGTAAGAAATATTGTTTGTTTTTTTTACTACTAAGTAATGTTTAAAATTTAAAAATAATTTAAGCAATTATCTAATATATTACAGATTTTTTAAACTGTAATTTTGAAGATGCTTTCTTATAATAATTTTAAAATAAAATACTATAAAAATTTTTAAAATTGTGTAGTTACTTCTATAATGGTAGATAATTATGATAAATAATTTTATTAATTACTATATTATCAGTTATTACATTTTAATTAAATAATGAGATGTAATATTATTAATTATATTAACTACAAATTATATTAATATTTCTTAATTATTAATAATAATTAATAAAATTATTTATTAAACTTCTATCTCACTCAGCTATTACATTTTTACAACTGAAATATAATTTTATTAATATTATCTCAATAATTCACTTTTTTAATTTAATAACTGAGTTATAATTAACAAAATAATTATCTGTTTCACAAATGATAGAATAACACTATAATATTTATATTTTTAAGATCCTATTTTTTTCATTTTATTCTTTATTATATTTTGATGTTTATGAATTTTAAAGTTATTTTATTTATTAAATTTTTTTAAAACTTAAATTTTTTACAAAAATTTAACTTAAACATAAATACTCAAATTATAGGAAAAAAAATGCTACCATTTGATAAGACTTTTTATTTTTGGCCCTGAAAAGGGCCGTTTTTTTTTTTTTTTTTTTTTCTTCAGTTTCCT